GCATCTTGCTTTTGCATCTTCTCATTTTCTATTTTTTTAGTTTAATTTTTCAGTTGATGCTTGTAAATTGCTTATGGCATGTATCTTTATTGCTAGTATTAAGAACCCTTAGGAAAAGACTACTTCTCAGAGATTTCTTTCAGATGTAGCCAGCTTTTAGGATTTGAGTGTGTTGGAAGATCCTACCTGTTCAGTATATTGAGAATGAGAAGTTGTTGCTTATTTATTTGGCCTACCCCCTCGCCCTTTGACACTGACACATAGTACTGTTTATTACCCTTAGGTAATCTCAGTTTTGGCATAGAAGGAAAAACAACTGATTAGAAAAATTATGTTACCTTGGCTAAAGAGGTACAATCAGTAATAACAATAGCTTCAAAAATTGCCTAGAAAATGACAAACTTGTAGCTATTAATTTGCTATCTTTAATTATAGGAACTAGATTTGTGATTATATAACAAAATCTAAAACAGACCAGAAAATTGTGTACAGTGAATGTGCCCCACAGTGGAAAATTTAAAAAAGGGTAGAGGGGGAGAAATAAAGAAATAGGAGAAGAAGATATTAGAAGCAGGGCTGGAAGAAAAGGAAGATTATGGGCACTTTAGGAAACTAGGGAAGGCAAGATCAAAAGAAAGAAAGAAGAACTAAAAATAAGAACAGAATAGAACAACAAGAAGACTAGAAACAATGTTCATATTCACATAACAATCAAGAAAAAAAGAAACAAAACCAAAAAAGAAGAAGAAAAAATAATTCCATTTTAGTGTGTATGTCTGTCGTCATTGGTAGAGTGGGCAGATGAGCCTCAAATCCATGTTGATGAGTGCCAGCCAACCAGCTGTAGATTTATGGTGTGGTAGTGGATAATCCCTGCCAGGCTGCACCTTTTGTTCCACTGAAGTCTAGGCTGTTTTCTGGCTGTGCAACTGGAGCCCAATTTGTTCAGCCTGCAACACTGTGTACCTCCTGCTGGCTTCAGCTCCTTGACTGCCTGCTGACTTGAACTCAGTTTCACCCTCCCTTGAAACTTAGAGTCACTAGATGGAGTCAACCACAGCTACTCTGAGTTCCAAGCTCAGGTGGCCCCTGCAACTGGCTAATCGCCCTCTGCAGGAGGGGTGTCTGAACTTGAGTAACTCATCAGCCACTGCAGTCTGCTGTGTCTACCACTCTGTCCCACTAGTGCATTTCTCCCTGGAGGCTTATGATGTTACCAGTAGTAACCATCCAACTGCAGGTCTGAGCCACCTCTTCTATCCTGCGAGTCAGGGCTCAGGGAGAAAATGCTGCTTGCCACCTTTTTCTACATTGAGGCTTCTCTTTCCTCTCTCCCTGGGCTTCAGTGATGGGTGCTAAATACTATTTGTCCCAATAACAAGTGTCTCTGTTCATGGAAAAGCTATGTGCTTGTAGGGAATCTGAAATGAAATGGAGTGGCACTGGGTGGAAAGGGAAGGATTTTCTTTGCCTGCAAAATTGAAGAGTCTCATGGAAGATACATCATTAAATAAGACAGAAAGCACTTTGAAACTTGTAATTGTTTACGTCTGGGTTTGTTTACTATCTGCTTTTGGCTAGGCTGTACCTCTGGGAAGACTGAAATGAAATTTTTCCTTGAAAAAGAAAGTTTGTATTTATAATTTAAAATTTCGTATATTTATAGTGTAACAACAATGCTGTTTTAATGCATATATGCTACAGAATGGCTAAGTTTAGGTAATGACATTTGCATTACTCTATATTTACCTTTTTGTGGCTAATTGATTTAAATTCTCTTGTCTCAGTTATTTTCAATTATAGAGTGCCTTTTGTTATCTGTAGGAAACATAATATACATTGGATCTCTGGAAATCATTCCATTTGTCTAACTTCAATTTTGTGTTTGTTGCCAACATCTCCACAATTCCCAGAATCCTCAGCTTCTGGTAGCCACCATTCTACCCTTTTAATTTTGAGTATCACATTTTCTGATTCCACATATAAGTGAATGTTTTAGCTTCCTCAGATTTTTTACCTGACTTATTTCACTTACCATAATGTACTACAGGTTCATCTATGTGGTTGCAAATGATGGCATTTCCTTCTTTTTAAAGGCTGAATAGTAACCCATTATACATATACACCACATTTTCCTTATGCATCTATCTGTTAATGAACCCCTAGGTTGGTTCTAACTCTTGGGTGTTGTACATTACATTGTAATGAACATGGGATTCAAGATGTCTCTTAATATATTGATTTCCTTTCCTCCAGTATGGATTGAGTAGTGGGATTACTGGGTAACACATATGTTATCTTTCTGTTTCTGGGATAAAATACTGAGCAAAATGACATATGAAGTAGAAAGATTATTTTGGCTTTTGGTTTCAGAGATTTCAGTCCATGACTGCTTAGTCCCACAGCTGGGTCTTGTGGTAAAGGACACATCATGGTGGGAGTCCTGGTACAGAATGCCCATTCACCTTATGGTGGCTGGGAAGCAAGGAGAGAGAGGAGAAGGGGCTGGGGTCCCATTCCCAACTTCAAGGATACGTCCTCAGTGGCCTAAGTTTCTCCCACTATGCCCCAGATCTGAAAGATTCTACTGCTTTCCAATAGTGCCAATGGTTGGCAACCAAGTCTTTTAACACATGGGTTTTTGGGGACATTGCAGACCCAAACTATAGTAATATGGTAGTTCTAGTTTTGATTTTTAAGAGTCTCATGCTCTACCGACTGAGCTAGCCAGGCGCTCTTAGTTTTGATTTTTAAAAGAATCTTCATACTGGTATTAACTTACATTTCCATCAATAGTATACCAGGGTTACCTTTTCTCTATATCTTTGTAACACATGTGATCTTTTATGGTTTTGATAGGTGTGAGCTAATAGTCTCATTGTGGTTTTATTTTGCATTTTCCTGGTGATTAATTGTGTTGAGGGTTTTTGAAATATACCTGTTGGTAATTTGTATGTGTTCTTTTGAGAAATGCTATTTAGATCATTTGCTTATTTTAAAATCATTATTTATTTTGCTTTTATTATTGAGTTGTTTGTAAGTTTTACATATTTTGGATATTACTTTTTCTCAGATATATGGTTTATGAATCTTTTCTCCCACCTGGGAGTGTATTTTTCCTTCATTCATCTATCCATACTCTTAATATATGTAGGAATGAGGCCAAATACTGCTATTGCTTAATGGATTCTGTACAACACTTGGAGGTGGGTACTGTTACCCCATTTTACAGATTACAAAACTAAGATATAACCACAATTTACTTTTATACCATAGCCTGACTCCAAAGACTTTTTTTAAATTTTAAGTTTTTAGTCAATTTTTTATATACAGAGTTAAAATATATAATTCCATAATATTTATAATAAAATTTAAATTTAAAATTTCTCTACAAATAAAGCCCATCTTTGCTACGTTACTTCTAATTTCTACTACTTGTCTATGCTTTATTTCATTATCAAGAATATTACTACTCTTTATTCTTTTTAAAAAAATTTCTCTTATTTAGATCACTAATTTAGTCTGTCCAGCTAAAACAATGATGTTATTGCACTGGAGTTTCAGACAGGGAAATAATTGGCCTGATAAGCTTGCTGTAGGAGCTATGGGATGGATGGGTGGGAAACAGACATGGAAAGCTGACTGTTGTGTAGTATCTTATTGCCAGTACAGAGCTTTACATTTGTGTTTATCTCCTAGTAAAAGGCCAGGTGTCTAATACTCCCCTTCTATATTTTCTCCATGGGTACATGTACATTTTCAGTCATTAGCCCTGGCTAAACAGGTGACATCTGCTGAAAAAACTAACACTGCTGTCATTTTGTGTGTCAAAAATACAGTCCCTAAATGCCCTTGAGCTCAGTCCATTCTCCTCCAAATGCCGTTGGAGCAAGTCACACCATCCTGGTAATCAGGAGTTTCCCAACTATTTCTTGCTCCCTTGCTTTTTTTTTTTTTTTTTAAATTGCTTTTAATTTAAATTACCAACCCTTTCTGTCAACCCTGCTAACCAGACTAAGTTCATTATGCCCGGTCAAAGTCTAGTCTGTGTTGGAAGAAAGTGACCCCTGGGCTCAGTTTATATGACTTTCATTTTAGTTAGCTTCCAAATCAGCAAAGATTCCTGTCCAAAGTATGTGAGCTAAGGAAGTAGGTATGTGAATGTTTTTGGTTAGATCCTCTTCAGGTCCTCTGGTTGCTGAGTTAGGGAAATAAAACTTCCCATGCAATGTGAGAAAACCAGCAATTGCAAGAAAAAGAAGACCATATTGTTGTAAACCTGAACCATGATAGACTTATAAAGATGGCTTGTCATGTGAACCTGGTCTCAACCTGTATTCTCTTCTTAATTGATCTCTCTCATCAATATGATTGCAACTCCAAGACTGTGACACTAAGTGATGGATGAAAATATGTTTTAAGTATATTTCTTTTCCTGAAAATAAAGTCAATAGATTGTAATTCCAGTAATTCTTTTTGATGATGAAAGAAAAAGTACATAAAGGAGTCTGGCTTTTCAAGGAAAAGGCAAATGTTTATATTAACTTGAAATCAGGAAAATCTGTGGTTTGACAGGTAGTAGGTGATATTTTTACAAGTCTCTCCCATACCTGTTAATTGCAGGAATATCAGCTTAGCCATTATAATGCATATATGGAGATTTTTGTGAATATAATGCAATCAACTAATACTAATAACACCAACACCAAATCCATTTTTTTCCAAATATTTACTTGGTTTTTACGTATTTTGAATACTCAAATAGATAATTTTAAATTTTTTATGAAATTTGAACATCGTTTCAGAAAAGAATTCATCACAAAAATAATACACAGAGATCAATAAGGAGAAGCATCTTTAATTATCACTATGATAAATAAATTAATGAGTGAATAAAATTACTAAAGTTAAGTATTGAAAGATACTCTATGTTTCTATGAAGTGTTTATTTTAAATCAAATATCCTTTATAGACATCATATTATTATTTTTGCAGTTCATGATTACACAGGATGGATTTACAAATTTATCCATATCCTTTAATTACATTATTCTACTTTTTAAAACCCTGTTCTAGGTCGGCTTGAAGAGTTTTTCTTTTTTAAGATACAAATAGTGGTACTTAAAATAACACTAACAACTACAACAGACCCTACTACTGACAAGACCAGAATAGAAATATTAATTCCAGAATTATAATTTTTATCAGGACTAGGATTAGGATGACTTTCATCAGGACCAGGATCTGCTTGAGGAATGAACAAAGCCACTTGAGCAATGTTGGATACCCTTGATGTCAAGTTGCTTTTGTCTACACTTTGAATGGCAATGAATATGTGGGTTGCATTTTCTTCTGGGATATTTTCTGGTTTAAATGTAAAGGTCTCCTCGGAGTTGGCCTCCTTTGGGAACAGGTCAGTAGTGTTAACTTGAGGAGCACCATCAAAATTGTCTCTCAGGTCAATCATACTTCCACTTATCCTTATGATATATCGTTGAACTAAGAGAAAAAGTTACATGTAGTTTAGTAGGTGTAGCATGTCATACTAAATTTCTTTCCATTTATTCTCAAAGATATTCTTTAGTCATGTAAAGTATATCCTTATATCTGAAGTTTTAATGGTTTTTAATAAAAGCTACCTTTTCACTTTTAAATTCTGCCAAATGCTACCACATCGTATGAAGAGTAGGGCTGAGGTAAAATGTGTCACGTTTGATTGATCCAAAAATATCAGATTTTAAAGTTAACAGTTTCCTGAACTATCAGATACTATTCTCCCTTAACCCACCCTTACATCCTTTTGCACAGAGCATCTTTAACCACATGAATAAGCAACATGACACTTTGTTCTTACCTGTTCCAACATCAAAATCCTCTCCTGGTGCTGTCCATGTTAGAATGATCTCTTCTCCCTCAGGTGTGGCGTTCAGGTCTGTGATTTGACTTGGTGGGTATGGGTCAGAGGATTGAGTATTTGTAAATCCTGATACCACAAATGCACCTCCAGATGCTGTTCTGCTGAAATTCTCCAAAATTGTCTCAGTATTCTCATCAGCTTCAGGTCTTGGTGGGTTTCCTTCGATTTCCCCTACATTAAATAGTCTTTGATTTAAAATGGGCAAAAATGAACTAATATTTTTTTACAACAGTGAATCGTTTCCCTTATGTCATTTGTCTTTTCCTTTTTGCTGTACACACAGATATATCTTTGCTAAGACTTGTGACACAGCATTAAGCCTCAAACTGATGGGAGAACTCTGTCATTAGTAGCCTGAACAGGATGTTGCAGGATAAAGATGGAGAGCAAATTGCTTTGCAATGAAGACTGCACTAAATGAGAATAATGTTATATAATTAAATGTATTCTCTTGTTCTCTCAAATTATCTCCAAGCTAGAAATATATCTAGGAAAATCATTGCCAGTTCCCTTCCAGTTACTTGGCCAGGTCCTTCCTGCCCTGATACAAATACTAAGGATACTGCAACTGTCAACCAAAAGCCCTGAATAGTCACAAGATAACAGACCAAAAAGAAGAAAGGTAGCAAAGAATGCCACGTGTATACTTGGCATCACTTTACACATTTTTTCTTTTTACTTCATAAGGCACTCTAAATAAACATTTAATGTTATAACAAATATAATCTGAAGGATAAATCCTGCTTCTGGCCTGTACTTATGCTAATTATAAATTAGATTTTTTTTTTTCTGTCCTGAGCTGATAATTTGGCATATTATTGTTGATATCATCAAGGTGTTCAAAGTAACATAACACTAGCTGGCATTTTTGAGTACTTACGATGTACCTGACTTCTTTCCAAAGCTGAATTTCGAGGCAATTAACTGAGTATTCCAGTTCAGAAATAGGAAATCTACCCTCAGTTGTAAAATGAAGCCACCTCAGTCGTATCAAATTGCAAATATTTTTCCAGCTGTCACTGGTTTCAGAGAGCAGGAGGTACTCACCATTCACTACCCAGCCTGGTATATATGCGGCTCTGCTCCGTGGATGTTTGGAGCTTTGCATGGCAGAGTTTGTTCCTGCATGAGCTCGCACCTTCAAGCTGTATCTGCCATTTTCTGAATAACCTGTGAAGTACCTGGAGTAGACACCATCATCTTTGAATGCATCAGCACCTAGTTGGAGAAATGAAAGCACAAACTATTATTGTAAATAAAGCAATAAATCCATGCATTTTCTAAGAAAAGATTGTCCTCCATAAGTCTATCTTCCAGATTGGGTGAGGTATTTAGGGAAAATCCTCTGGAGAATATTTCTGTATTACTCTGCTAAAAGACTATATAGATGAATTTATGCCCTCGAGTTTTTTTTTTTTTTGTATCTATATACTTCTACCTATGTGACACATACACACTTTTTTTTGGTGTATTTATAATAAATGGTTGCATATCACATCTTTCTTCCCATATCAATTTGTATACAGTTTATAATACACCTCTTACCATTCATTTCTCTGCCAATTATTTGCTTGTATTATGAAATTAATCATGCTGTCCCTCTGTATAAATCTAAAGAGTGTTTACTACCAAAAAAAATCCTTTGTAGGATCTATCTTTTATACTCAAGTAAAAGTACTCATTTTGCCTTATCTTCAACAATTCCTTTTTACTTTTCTCTGCTCTTATTATCCTCATACATTAACTCTTTAATCTGACAGAGGAAAGTACCATCTACTATTAAAGAAACATTTTGGAAGATCTCAGGACTACTGTGACCTTTGTGTCTAGCATTGAAGTTACCTATTAAATTGCAAAGTATATTTCCAAGCACATTTAATACTCTATGTCAGAGAATCTTAAACAAGTGATGTACAACATTTGGACAAGCACTGTCTGTATCTCTTAGAACTAGAGACTTTTAGACACACTAATTTCCCACACTATCTAGGGAAGATCTCAGAATTATGTTTCAACAAAGCCTACTCATGATTCTTTTACATACTAAAGCAGTGGTGGCAGACCTATGGAGTGTGTTTGTTATTTGATTTTCTTTTAAGACATGTTAATGTATGAGTTATTTTTTCTAAACTAAAACCTCAGTATTGAGATTTAATTATAGTATTGCCATTTCACAATAAATAATACACTATTGCATTCCAAGTTGGAGAACTGTCTCTAAAATGTTCACCATCCCTGCACCAAAGTGCAAGAATACCTTCTATAAACCATTGTTAATCACCAATACCTACTTAGGGAAAGGCATTTCAAATTAACTGACTTCATAATTAGCCAAATATTCATCCAATAAAATGCCAAGAAATGAAACAAGATGCAGGTGAATTTTAATGTTTTTTAGATAGAGGAAGAGAGAATTGTGAAAAAACACATGAGTTTCACCAAAAAAACAATTTGCAAACTGTAGTTGAAAATATAATTAAGATATAACTGAATAAATTACATTGCTCACTGACTTTTTAACGGAAGTTTCAGTTCCCTGGAAAATCTAGACTCTGGAGAAAGGTCCACTCACCCATAGAGAGCAGGAAGATAGATAATGGCCGGCACTGTTCCTTGTTCCTGGTACTTAATGCCCTGGTGATGAGACCTCCTCTCCTGCAGCAGGTTAGCTGTCCCTAGGCCTCAGCTCTCTGGCCTGTATTTGTATTTTGTTTCCACTCTCAGAAATTCCTCCTGTTTCTCTCCTTTTCCCTGGCAGAGTCCCTGGTGCTACCTCTCAGCCCCATCTGGCCATGTGGAACACATTTGCCAAGCACTTTACAGGCTTTACCTGATAAAATTTCCTGCTAGTCCTTGTATTCCTCCACAATGCCTCTCAGTTGTTGAGTTCCTGTGTTAGTGCTGGACTCTGGAACAGGAACCCACAACATACCCTGACTTATGAAAATGAGGGCTTATTCATAAAAGCCTCTGAATTACCTGCACCATTGTCCAACAGTTCCAAAACTGCTGTGTTTCCACTGTTTGATTCAATGATAGCAGTCACATTGGCTCCAAGAATGGGCACATACCCTTGTTGAACTTCTGCATAGACAATCATTGGGCTGGGGAAGCTGCTTGTGTCTTTATTCATTTTAGCACTCACTGTGATGGGAGGCACAGCAGAATTTGATGCCCGAGAAGTTACTGTAATAGTCAGTGTTTCTGAGTTTGCTTTGGCTTGAAGGTTGTAAGTCCAGGTGCCCACCTAAAATGTTCAATGAAAACAAAAATATTCATTGTCAAGTTACATTTTGTGACCTGATTTTGCAATTTTAAAATACATCATAGACACATGGAGAATAAACAGATGCCTGATGGGTTTGAGATTTTTAAAAAGATGCAAATTAAGACAATTCAGACAGTACACCTTGACTAGTGGTGGGCGTGATGTCTGTACTGTGTGACATCTCAGGTGGAAAAATATTTTGGAAGTTTACTTGCTTTAGGTCTTATTGGTTGACTTCACAGAAAATCTGCACATCAAGTTTCCCAGACTCTTCCTATACTTCCTCCACAGAATTATTCTTGGTTTATGTTCTTGTTCTTCCTCCTGATACATGAGGACTTTCTCATTTTCCTTTGCATTATTACTTTTAGAATCACACAATATGGAGAGTACATAGTGTTTTATATTCATTTGATATTTTGTATAATTATTTACATTCATGATCATGACATTAAACAGTTTCCAGAGCAAAAAAAAAAAAAAAAATGCAGAGCAAGACTAAAAGGTGATCACTCACCTGTGCATTTTCTGGAATACTGAGATAGGCCATTTGGGAAGCAGTGTCCTGAGTGAAACCTGCTGTTGGTGCTCCACTGGGATCCCAGAGAGAAATGCTGGGAGGCTGCACAGTCCAGGTGACAAGAAAGAACGTGTCCTTTCCCACAGTGCTGTCGATTATCACCGTGCCGTTCATCCAGGCATCAGTGGTCAGGGTTAATCCCTTACTTTCAAGCTGTGTAAATATATTTTTAAAATTAGTGAATGCAGACAAGACTCATTTCATTCTAGTGAATTTCATTTTTCTTTTTTCTTTTAAAAATGATGCTCAGTTTTTGTTCTGAAGACAAGCTTTGGGCTCTGAGTGAAGACCTTATATAATAAAAGCCATAGAGCAGGAACAAGGATTTCATAAATGGAAATATGATTCCATCTTTTTTTCCATAGTTTTCTAAGGAAATATCCACTGTAGTCTTTTGTATTAAACGGAGGCACAGTAACAGGGAGAAATTACTTCTAGTGTGTGTGCATGTGTGTGTGTGTGTGTGTGTGTGTGTGTGTGTGTGTGTGTACTACCGACAATTCAAACTCATGATGATTTAATGGATATTTACAGGGATCTAGAGTATTTGAGTAGTATATATATATATATATGTAGCCCCAAAGCCTCACGTGCTGATGGGTGGAGCTATTGGGAGGTGACTACATGATGGGAGTGTGGTACTCATCACTGGATCAATCTACTGATGAGTTTGTAGCTAAATGTGATATCAGCAGTAGGTAAGTCACTGCACACATGGCCATAAGCCATGCCAGCTGAGTATGGACTGAAACTTCTACACATTGTGAACCAAAACAAACCTTTCTTCCCTGCAATTTTGGATGTTTCAGCAGTAGGAAGTAAGTAAGTACAGATTGTGGTACTAACAAAGTCGGGTCATTACTGTGACATTGCCATTGGAACTGGCTTGTAGGAAGAGTTTGAAAGGTTTGAGATGCTGCCTGAAAAAGGTGTTCAAGAGTGCTGTGAGTCAAGCTTGATGGGAGATTCTGTTCAGAGCTCAGAAGCCCAGCTTGCTGATAGAAATGCAGCCTGGAAAGACCAAACTCAGATGGTTTCATTTGGTAACAAAGACTGCATTAGTAATTGGACTCCAGGCTATGTGAAAATATTTGTCTGCATTTGCTCATGTCTTGAGGCTGTTGGAGACTGTAATTAAGAATGGTGAGCAAATTAATTTGGTGGAGGAAAATTTAAGGTAACCAAACTGTCACACTGTGTCTTGAGTACTTTTGGGGGATTTTAGCCAGGTCTACCTTGACAACTGAGAGCAAGTAGCTCAGCAGAAAGTCTGAAAATTTTGACGTGGGCCAGAAAGGAAGCTCTAATAAAGTTGGTACCTGCAAAGATGGAACAGGGAAGAGCTCAGTTGCTGAAAAGATTAGAACTGAAAAGAAGCCAAGTACTTTGGAACAAGGCAATAAGAAAAATGCCTTGAATGAATATGAGGAGCCAGTAAGGCACCCTCTTCTGCAGGCTCAAATTTGAGAAGGTGAACAACTTTGAGAAATCCAGGGGACCATGCTCCAGAATGGCGGGCAGTCTAGAAAATGAAAATTTATTCCTCATGATCAGTTCACTATGTTCAGCCATCTAGTTGGTCAGAGGCCTCTACAACCACAGCATGATGCAAAAGGCTGTGCTACTGCTCATGCTGGAGGGAGACCACAGCATTATCCACATAATTGGTTTTATATGCATGCAGAGTGCAAGAATTTTGAGGTCAGGCAGGGTTCCACCAAGATTTCAGAAGAAGGCCTGGGAGGCCAGGCAATGTGCTTCTGTGAACCCGTGAATGTGAAGCTGAAAGTGCAACAGAGATCCCAGAAAACTGGAGAAGCCATAAATGTGGAATGTCTGAGGAAAGCCACCATGAGTGTAAAAAGTTGTGGCAAGAGAGAGCCACTGAGGGTTATAACCAATGGCAGTGCCATAGGAGTTTGGCCACCTAAGCCCTTGTGGTTCATATCTCACCACAATGTCCAGGGTGCTGGACACAGAATTATAGGACTTAATGTTTGCCCTGCTGGGTTTCAATCTTGCTCTGGTAGTATCCCTCTCAATCCCATTATTTCTTCCTTTTGAAATGGAAATGTCTACTTTGCCTTTGTGTCTTGGAAATATTTTCTTTTCATTGTACAGGGGTTCACAGGTAAGAGTTTGCCTTAATTCTCAAAGAAGAGCTCAGACTAGTTGTTTTTCAATAATGTTGACAATGGCAGGCCTTTGGCATCTCTTAGGGATGGAGTAAGTGAATTTTGCCTGAAGAGAAGAAGCACATGGATCTTCTGGGTGCTAGAGAGAAACTGTAATGGCTTGCGTCTAGATGTTCTACAAAAGCCTTACATGATCATAGATGGGGTTTTGTGGAGGTGATGGATCATGGGGTGTGATACTCATCAGTGGATTAGACCACTGATCAATTTATATTAAGTATGATCTTGTGGAGAAATGAGTCACTGGAGGTGTGGGTGGAAGGGTATTTCTCTTTTCCTTCTCTCTAGATCACCTTCTGCTTCCAGCTGCCATGCTAGGAGCTGTTTTTCTTCTGCTATGCTCCTCTACCACACTACACTACTTGGGAGTAAGCTGACTATGGACTGGAACCTCTATAAACTGTGAGCCAAAATAAACCATTTCTCTTTAGAGTTGTGAGTTTTGAGTATTGTGTCTCAGTGCTGGAAAAAATAACTATGACAAATAAGACACAGTGAGGGCCTCAGATATAAAATTAGGACTAGTAAATAATTGAGACAAGCTTTCATGGATATTTTCCTGGTGTGGAATCTTGAAATAATTTTTCACAAAGGGTAGGGATTGATAAACTGAACAGTTTATATATTCAAGAAAAGGTCAAAAAGTTGTATTAAGGATGGCATCCTAAGAAAAATGAAAGAAAAAGACAGGACCTTCTCTAAGAGGAGATTGAAAGAAGTTACTGAAGTTTTTGTTGATAGCACTTAGTGTAGGAAAGCCAACACTTTTGTTGAATTGCTTTATTGTTTAAATGACGGAGATGTGTACATTTACCACATACAGCATGACTTGGCTGAATAATAATTTACTTTCAAGCTGATTCTCTAAATTCCATTTTTATACTTTTAAATGTCATGGGAGTATTCCATTTGGAATTACCATCATGAAAAGAAAATTAAAATTATATTCTTAAAATCAGCTCTTCCACAAAACCCAGTTCTTCCTACTGTTCAGTTTCACACAGTAATATCATTATTCTTTCCATCAACCTGATTGAAAAACCTCAGAAATGCCCTTCACTTTTTATGATTTTTTCCCCCATTCACTGCAGGGTAGATCTCAGATGAATACTTAACCTTCTACAGAGTAAAGCTACAGATAGATTTTCATAGCAGTCTGTACAAATGCTAAGTTCACCCCATGTAATTTCTGCTCTTGTTGTTGAGAAATAGAGGAAGACAGGTTTATGAGGTGGTCATGGCAAGTTTTAAAGCAGCAAAAGGTGAAACTGGAAAAGAGAAGATAAAGTCTTGACATTAAGATTTATGACAAAGACAGAATGAACTAGAAAGAAGAGAAACATTTTTGTAACATATATTTTAATAGAAACCGGCTATGCTGACATCATATATGAGATATGAGTTACTAACCAAAGTTTAATAAAAGTTTGAGATTCATAAAGAAAATGGTTATGCTATTGAGACACAGACCAGAAAAACAACAGTTTTTCACAGTAGTGAAAATAAGTTTAAAATTTTAAAAAATGTTTTAAAAAAAATGGGTGTTCTATTTTGAACAAAGTCTAGCTTTGGTAGGAAACTGATATTAGTAGATTTTAATGTTATTCTTCAACTAAACTTTATGGCAAAATGAAAAAATGGTCTCCTATTTCTTGACGTAATTTACTTTCATTTCACCACTTGATCTGAATATATGTAAAGGATTATATCTACTTCAGATTTTAATTTTAATTAAAATTTCACTTTGAAAAGATTACAGAAGCAACCAACTTATTTTTCTAGGTTATGGTAAATGCAAACACAAACCTCCAGCAGTGGGCACTCTCACCTGAATGGACTTCTGACTGAGTCCAGCATTTTCTGATGTAAGGGCTGCAAAAGCGTCAATGAGTCCATTGTTCTCAGCATTATCTGAAGCAAAAAAGTGATTTCCTCCTAAAATGTAAATGCACAACCTAGGTTAATTTCTAGAATATAAGAATTTACATATTTTAATGATTAATAGGGCAAAAGTTTAAAGAAAGTCATAGTTTCAGTATGTACTATTAAAACAGGCCATTGTCAGATGGCTGTAAAATTAATTCTGAAATACTAATTTAAAATCTCATAACCAGGAAGGAAAAGATACCTTGATACCTCAGTATCAAATCTCAGGTAGATTAAATACAACAAATGATCAGGCAGAAAGGAAAAAATTATATATATATATGTATATATATATATACATATATACACACACACACACACACACAAGACAATACAGCTAGTTTCTCTTACTTTATCAAAAAGAAAGCTTTGTGCTAATATTTTATAGACATCTTACCTATATCTTCTACTCTGAATAATAGCTAGGAAGATAGCAATAAACAGTGTATCAACTATTGTAGCTGTCCTAATAGACTCTTTTGAAGCTGGTTTTCATTGTTATATTTATATTTTTTTAAAAAGGAAGGAACAGCTAGAATGGTGGAAAGGAGAAAGAAGCAGGAGAAATATCTATATCTGTATCTATATCTATATCTGTATCTATATATACACAAAATAGCTGGGGTAAATGTACCACTGATTTCTATTGGTTTGTTGAAAGGAAAAATTAATGCTTAATTGTTTGATCAATCTTGCAGGCCTTTGTCTGGTGATCTAAGCAACTACTTTAAAGATAACAATATTTATTATAACTACTGTTAATTTTCTATCACCTTGTTTTGAAATTCTATATTGATTTTATTTTATTTTTTGTTTCTGCCTTTGTGTTTTTTCTTCTACTTTTTACAATTAAAGAAAGAAAGAATATATTACAATTCCATGTATTTGAGTTTATGGTCTTTACACAGTACCTTAGGAGAATTATTCATATTTATTAATAGCTCTAACAACGTTGGTTCTTAGATTTTGCAGACAAAGTAAATCAGAAGCAGAATATTGGTGTTACTCTATCTTCCTGTGTTATGAAGAAATGCTGTCTGATCATGTGATTTGATTAGCACTTCTATTTGTCTCTCTACACCACTCAGCTCTGACTACCCTGAGAACAGACGTTGAGTCTGCTTTGACCTGGTCTCCAGCTCCTGGCACAGCACCTTCAGAGCAGGAGCTCAAGAGAAGGTGCAGAACTGCGAAACCAGACACTGACACATTCCTATTCAAAGCCCGGAATGTATAGCCTATATTTTAACCTGTTTCGTTGCTCATCTGTGTGACTGCTTTATCAGCAGATGGTCCCAGGGCAATCAAATGAATGATGATCCCACTCTCTTTCACTTCATCAACACAACCACTTGCAGTGCTGTCTTCCCCATCAGTCAGCAGCATTATTTCAGACCCATCCAGTTGCGAGGCTGCCTTTCTAATCACCTGCAAACATATTTCAGACACAATTACCACTGTAGATTAAACAGATCGATGGGAAAGTAGACAAAACACAGAGAAAATAAAAATATGTAAGAGAGAAGAGAGAGCTTTGTTTTAAAATCATAGAGTCTACAATTAACAATGTCTGGGGTATCTTGTTTTGTATTTTTTGCTGAAGATTGAAACAGAGTCTTTGCACTCAACTATATCACCAGTCCCTTTACCTTTTACTTTGGAAAAAGGGCTGTCTAAGTCACTTGATCTCAGCTCTAAGTTGTGTTCTCTCTGACACAGCCTCCCAGAGTGCGGGGATTACAGACATGTGCCAGCATATCTAGTTGTCCTAGGGAATCTGAAACATGATATTTTTCCTATCCCTCGTAATGCAGAGAAAATTTATTCAGATGAACATTGATGGGAGCAGGGTTTTGGAAAATCGTGCCTACTTTAGAAAAGGGTGCCATCACAGCCTAAGAAACTTAGGTTGTTTGGACACTCAAAATATATCTGTGAGATTGGCTGTAAATAGTTGTTTTGCTTTCTTTGATCTTACTATCCTCTGAGAAGCCTTCCATATATAAAGCTTGTAGTCCATAGAGCTAGATACATTAATAATCTACCTTAACATAATAACATCATTGATTCCAAATTAGAAAATCCTCAGCATGCTTGTGAGGGAAAGATATGTTTACTTCTAAATATGGTGAGCTTAGGGACTTATTATGTAACTATTAATTTACTTATAACACCAAAGTAAGCAAGTTAGTGTTAATTAAGCACCAAATGAGTGATGTTTACTGAGTTCTATTTGTAGTTGGAATCCTTTTCTTATAAAAGCCCAACAGTTTAAAAGTCAGAGTTCTGCATCTTGCTACCCATAGAGGGGATAAGAACAATTTAGCTTGAGATTGCACTTACATTTTATTTGCAAGGTGCTTCCTTGAGCACAATTTTGAGAAACTGATTCTAGGCCCAAAGAGAAAAAAAAAAAATGACAAATTACCGGTGACTTTCTTGGACTTGGAATAGGGACGTGTGGACCTGGGGAAGAGGGTTTGAGATATAAAAATCCCTACTAAAGCTGGACTCAGAGAAAAAAATTCATTACCCTCATTAGAAATTTTATTTGTTGTGAGAAAAAGTGACATATATATGAAGAATATACTCTGACATGCATTGAACCAAACTGAAATATAGCAAAGTGCTTCTAAACATTTACGGCATTAATAGGGCATGTCCATCACATTTTTCCTACAAATTTGAGTGCAAAATGAAAATCTGGGGATGAAGTAGAGCTCTTTTTCTTCATCTCCCACTTTCTTGTGTGAGTTTATTCACTGAGCACTTGCAATGTGTTAGTCACTCTGTTAGGAGCTGCATGGTTCCCCCATTCGTGGAAACATTCAATTCAATTTAACACTTACCAAGATTTGTGTCAGAGACTGGCAGATGAGCAATAAAGACACAGCTGACATATACAGCAAAGAAGTGTGTAATTCAAGATGAATATAAAGAATTACAGAGTTATCGTTTACTTAACATTATGATTTTCACCTCAAATGCCTTTCTAATCCCTGTGCAGATGGAAGTTCCTCCAGAGGCTTGTGTAGGCAATTTCATCACAAGGGTGTCTCTTTCGCTGTTGCTTCTTATTTGTATTAAGTCACTTCCAATGCTTGCACTACTATCAAATTGAACCATTCCTACCCAGGATCCATTTTCCACAGTCTGCAGCAGAAAGTGTTTTGCTGCTTGATTCATTCGATTGAGGCGCGTAATACCCTGAGAGGAAGTCTAAAGAAAACAACCAAGTAGTTTCCAACTGGAAGATAATAGCACCACACATAATAAATACATACATTTATTGGTAAGAATTTTTCAATGATAACTGCTACTATTGAAAAAATCATTCTATTTTTTTCAATTGATAAAGTAGAAAAATATGATTCTGTGCATTATGGGTCACACATGGTTTAGTAAGGAGCTCATATTTTTTAACTAGAGATGATTTCTGACTGCTAAACACTCCAGTTAGAGATGGAAGCTAGGATGGAGATTGAGTTAAAATGGGATGATGAGTCACACGTTAGAGATCCTCTAATTACATTGTTAGCCTCTGTTCCAGCTGTCTTAGATGATGTTACCAGTCTTCACCAATGAAACCAGAATATTTTAGGCTTCAGTAATTGAAATTGCCTCATTCACTTAGGACTAGTCTACTCCATGTGTGAAACTTACCTGAGCTGAGGCTAAATTCTGAGAACCCCATTCCCTACAAACATGCTTTGTCTTCCACTCCTAACTTTTCCCCACCATTTATTCACCAATGGTTTGATTGAAATTGGCTTTTTGGTTACCTGTCAAGATTCACAACACCAACCTACTGAACGGTGGAAAAACTGAAAACATTTCTTCTAAAATCAGGTATTAGACAAGAATATTCATTTTCATCCTCCTATTCAATATGGTACATGAAATTTTAACCAGAACAATTAGGATAGGGAAAAAATAAGAGGAACACAAATAGAACAGGAAAAAAAATCAAGTGATCCTTATTTGAAGTTGATATGATCTTATATTAACAAGATCCTAAAGACTCCACTAAAAGATTTTTAGATCTGATAAATAAGTTAAGCAACAAAGCAGAATACAAAATCAGCACTAAAAATTAATAGCATTTCTCTATACCAATAATGAAATAGCTGAGACAGAACTCAGGAACACAATTCCATTCAGTAGCTTTGAAAATATTTACTGATGAATCAGCCTAATCAGGGAGGTGAAAGTCTTCTACCATGAAAATGAAAGAAGACAAGAAATGAGGAAGAAAGACTTTAGGAGATGGAAAGATCTTCCATGTTTTTGTGTTGACAGGATTAATATTGCTGAAATGGCCAAAGCACCAAAAGTGAGCAATAGATTTAATGCAGTCTCCATCAAAACACCAATAGCATTCTTCACAGAACTAGAAGAAACAATTCTAAATTCATGTGAAAACACAAAAGAATAGCCAATGTAATCCTCAGAAAAAAGTGTAAGACTGTAGTCATCACAATACCTGATTGAAAATTATATTGTACAGACATATAAAAAACCAGCATACTACTGGCACAAAAATAGACATGTAGACCAATGCAACAGAAAAGAGGAGTCAAAAACATACCCACACAACTGCCAATTGGGTTTGACAAAGGGGACAAAAAATTGCCCAGAAAATTGCATATCCCTATGTATAAGATTGAAACTATGTTTCATCTCTCATCTGGTTTTAAGTCAATGTATAATGGATCAAAGACCTCTGTATAAGTCTTGAAACTTTGAAACTCCTAGAAGCAAACATAGGGAAAACACTTTGTGGGGATAGACATTCTTTAGTTACTCTTTCAATGTATTGCCTCAGGCTTCCAAGCCATGTGATTGTTTGGTTCTGGAGGAAGTCTAGCAAAAGCATTGGGGGAAAGGAAAAGATTACAGAACCTGTGTCCTTGTGGAAAGCTGTGAGGTCAACACAACGCTTTGCTGAAATATGCTCGAAGGAATGATAACATAATGGCTAACTAAGCCAAGTATCATTCCTATGATAATTGAGTTGTATTGTCCTTGCTAAAATGGTTGATATCCTCCCATTTGCCCAGCTGCTTCCTTTTTTGTTTCTTAATAAAAGTTTACTGAGATTGGCAATTGCAGCTGCAGTCCAAGAGGCTGCAAGCCCCTGATCCACCTCGTTCTTGGGACCAGTTCACCCTGGATAGAGATGGATTGTTAATCTGACACACCTGAAGCCATAGTTATTGGAAAGAACTTCTTGAAGAGGGCTCCAATAGCACAATAAATGATAGCAAGAATGAACAAATAAGATTATGTCAATTTAAAATTTTGTGCACAGCAAAGGAAACAGTCAATAACATGAAAAAGCAGTCCACATGATGGGACAAAAATATTTTCAAGCTACTCTGTGGACAGAGCATTAATGTTTAGAATAGATGAGTAACTCTGAAAATTTAATACTAAAAATCTAAATAGACCAATCAATAAATGGATAAAGGAATTGAAGAAACACTTACTTCTCAAAAGAAGAAATACTAATGGCTAATAAGCACATGAAGAAATGTTCAGATATTTAGGTAAATGCAAATCGAAACTACATTGAAATTTTATCTCACCTCAGGGACTATTGTCAAGAATACAAAAATAACAAACAAATATGAGTAAGGATGGGTGAGGGAAAAGGACCCTTTCACACTCTCAGTGAAATGTGAGTTAGTAATTCACTATGGAAATAAGTATGGAGGTTCTTTTAAAAACTGAAAATAGAACTACTATTTGACACAAGTATACCACTCCTTGTTAGATGCCAGAAGGAATTAAAGTCAGTATATCATAGTGATACCTAAATACCCATGTTTTTGCAGCATAATTTACAATAGCAAAGATATGGAACCAGCCTAGGTACCATCAATGAAACAATAGCAAAGAAAATAAGATATATATACATAATGGACTATTATTACTCCACCACAAAGAAGAATGAAATTATGTCATTTACAAAAAATAGGTAGAATTAGATGTCCTCATGTTAAACAAAATAAGCCAGATTCAGAAAGACAAATATTGTATGTTTCCCCTTTATATGGATTCTAAAAGAACCAAAATACAAGGACAAAAGTAAGAAAGTAGAAAAGAGACTCAAAAGGAAGGAAATAAGGGGAAGTGATTTAATAGGAAAATAATGGTTATACGGGAGATGATCAAAATATGTTATAGGCATGTATGAAAATATCACACTGAAAGTTTTGCAAAATTAACAGGAACTAGTAATTTTAAAAATAACTGCAACCCATTTTTGAGGAGATTTCCCAGGGTGTCCATCTCCTCAAACATTTGTCTTCTCCAGTCCCTCATCACTGCACTCCTCCACGCCACCTCTTCACAACCAGTGCCCAAATTTCCCTCTGATGTCCTTGAGCCAAATCACTGTGCAGAACTCCTACCTGCCCATGTTTGAGGCCTCTCAACCATTTTATTTTATCTTTTAACCTGGACCTACCATCACCCTGTTTAGAGGAGACTGCTGATCTCCCTATCAGGAACCTCTCCTCTTTTCAGTGACATTTCCTACATCATATTTATATACTGGTGTCAGCACTTTGCTGCGTTCTTTGAAATCCTGTGTTACTGTGGCCCATTTTACTAATCTCTATCATTTTCTGCTTTATTAATAACTAGATTTTCACCCATTACCTGAAGTTATTTCTAATCTTGACATGCTTTCTTTAATGTTAAATGTACCATCTTTCTGGGATCCTTATCACATTGCATTGCTTGTTTGCCATTCATTTCAACAATTATTTATTGATCAGGTAACCCTATGTGCTAAACTCTATTCTAGGCAATAGGGGATACAAAGATGCATCAGACAAAGTTCCGGTTCCTAGAGAATCTCCCAATCTATTTGGCAGAAATGTGTAGTTTCAAAATAATATGCTGTAATAGAGATCTGAAGAGGGAAATGTTGGAAATTAGTAATGGGACTATAGCAGTTAGTAAGCTTAGTCCATCTCTTGCAGGAGATGACTGCCTATCAAAAATTCTGGAGGTAATGGAGAATGGGAGAGAAAACCTTCTCTATTGAACTATGAATTTTCTAGACATGGGTCAATCTTCTTAGAGCCGAGAGCAATGCCTTCCATCCACCGAGTGCTAATGGAACGCATGGCTGCATCTATCCATACATTTTTATGATGATTTTTCTTAGTTATTTTGAGCATGAAGAGGTCACTCATACCAATGGTACAAATAAGATAATGCTATGCAAGGAATATTGCTGATTGATCTTCTGAGAACCAGAACAGTCATTAATCCTCATGTTTTTCAAGCAGTTTCAGTAAAAGAGACATATTTTAATAAAATTTCATTTTTCAATCTTGAGTTTTAACCTTTGAAATAACACTTGACTGTGAGTTCTCTGTAGTAAACCACCCATTTACACTAGAAAAAATGAAGACACTTGGGTAAAGTCTTTTTCACTCTACTGACATGTTTTTTTACTGCAATAGATATTTTTGCAATATTTTGAGATCATGATCACAGAAATAATGATATCTTATGTCACTATGCAATTTGGAACAATCCAGGGATAGGTGGAGTACAATATGTTCCTAGCAAACAATTATCCCCATTTTTACACCCAGAAAAATTGGACCTAAACTTACAGTCATGCTTCCAGACTTATCAAGAACAAGGCACACAATTCTTTCACTGATTCTCAGCAAGGAGAAGGCAGGTGGAGGAGGTGGTGCTGCCATTGGTGTAGTGTTTTTAAAGTCCTCAGACTCTCTGATTACTTCCCATGTACTTCTGATATTACACTTTAGGTTTTGTAGACTTGGAGCTTCTTTGTTATGGTTTTTTTCATTGCAGAATTCTACAACCTAGGAAGTTGATAAAATGGAAAAATTTTACTATACCATACATTATAATGCTTCATTGCAAACCTAAAAAATTCAAAACATGTCCTGCAAATATGGTTTAATTGAATTAAATACAATTAATGAGAATTAACATTATATTAAAGTAAACTTAGCAAAATGGTAACCACATGTAACATTAGTTGAGTGATTATGATGTCTCAGACCATGACTAAAGAATTTTATATTGGGCTGGGGATTTAGCTCAGCGGCAAAGCGCCTGCCTGGCAAGCACAAGGTCGTGAGTTCAGTTCCTGGTACCGGAGAAAAACCAAA